AAAAAAAAAAAAAAGACAAAGACTGGCAAAATGGATTTTTAAAAAATCCTTGGGAGGCTGAGGTGGGCGGATCACAAGGTCAAGAGATCGAGACCATCCTGGCCAACAGGGTGAAACCCCATCTCAACTAAAAATACAAAAAATTAGCTGGGCGTGGTGGCACACACCTGTAGTCCCAGTTACCAGGGAGGCTGAGGCAGAATCGCTTGAACCCGGGAGGAAGAGGTTGCAGTGAGCCAAGATTGCTCCACTGCACTCCAGTCTGGCAATAGAGTGAGACTCCGTCTCAAAACAAACAAAAATCCAACTTTATGCTGTCTACAAAACACTCACATTTGATCCAAAGACACAAACAGATTAAAAGTTAAAAGACGGAAAAAGACACTACATGCAAATAGTAACCAAAAGACAGCAGGGGAGGCTATAGTAATATCAGACGAGATAGACTTTAAATCAAAAAAGGTTATAGGGGCTGGGCATGGTGGCTCATGCCTGTAATCTCAGCACTTTGGGAAGCCGAGGCGGGCAGATCACCTGAGGTCAGGAGTTCAAGACCAGCCTGGCCAACATGGCAAAAACCTGTCTCTACTAAAAATACAAAAATTAGCCAGGCATGCTGGCGGGCACCTGTAATCCCACTACTTGGGAGGTTGAGGCAGGAGAATTGCTTGAACCTGAGAGGTGGAGGCTGCAGTGAGCTGAGATTAGGCCACTGCACTCCAGCCTGGGCAGCAGAACAAGACTCCATCTCAAAAAAAATAAATAAATAAAAGAAAGGTTATAGGGGACAAAGTATATTATATAATAAAAAATTCAATACTGCAAGAAGATATGACAATTATGAACATCTACACACCTAATAAGAGACCACCTAAATATATGAAGCAAAAACTGATAGAATTAAAGAAACAGTTTTACAACAGTAACTGAGGCTTCAATACCCCATTCTCAATAATGGATAGAAAAATCAGCTATAAGGAAAAAGATAACTTAAATAGCACAATAAACTAGATCTAATGGACACATACAGAACACTCCATACCTAACAATGGTAGCATATACATTCTTCTCAAGTACACATGGGATTTTCACCTATTAGGTTGGGTATTATCAAAAAGGTAAGACATAGCAAGTGTTGGCAAGAATGTGGAGCAAAGGGAACCATTGTACACTGTTGGTGGGAAGGTAAATTGGTACAGCCATCATAGAAAACAGTATGGAGGTTTCTCAAAAAATTAAAAATAATATGATACAGTAATACCACTTCTGGGTATGTATCTGAAGGAAATGAAATCAGTATCATAAAGAGGTATCTTTACTCCCATGTTCACTGCAGCATTATTCACAATAACCAAGATATGGAAACTACTCAAGTGTCCATTGATGGATGAATGGTTAAATAAATTATAGTATATATACACCATGGAATATTATTCGGCCAGAAGGAGGAAATTCTGGCCGGGTGCAGTGGCTCACGCCTGTAATCGAAGCACTCTGGGAGGCCAAGGCGTGTGGATCACCTGAGGGTCACGAGTTCAAGACCAGCCTGGCCAATCTGGTGAAACCCCATCTCTACTAAACAAAAAATTAGCCGGGAGTGGTGGCAGATGCCTGCAATCCCAGCTACTCAGCAGGCTGAGGCAAGAGAATTGCTTGAGCCCAGGAGGCGGAGGGTGCAATGAGCTGAGATTGCACCACTGCACTCTAGCCTGGGGAACAAGAGTGAAACTCCATCTCAAAAAAAAAAAAAAAAAAAAAAGGAGGAAATTCTGCCATTTGTGACAATGTGAACTATAAACTTAGAGATCATTATGCTAGGTGAAATAAGCCAGACACAGAAAGAGAAATATTATATGCCATTTCTATGTGGAATCTAAAATAGCTGAACTTAAACAGAGTGGTGGTTGTCCAGGTGAGAGGTGGGGAAAATGGGGAGATGTTGGTCAAAGGATATAAACTTTCAGTTATAAGATGAATAAATTCTAGAGGTTTAATGTAGAGCATGGTATCTATAGTTAATAATGTATTGAACACTTAAAATTTGCTATGGTAGTAGATCTTAAGTGTTTTCACTACACACGAAAAAATGGTAACTATGTCAAGGTGACAGATATGTAGTTAGCTTGACCTTAATTGCAGAATCATTACGCAAGAAATGCTGATATCAAAACACCATATTGTACACCTTAAATATATGCAATTTTTTATTTGTAATAACTCAATTTAAAAAAGAAAACAACTGGAAAAAAAGTAGGCTATGTATCTTAAGCACATAAACATTTGACCCTTTCTTAAAAGGTGCTACAGGTAATACTCATCTATTTTCTATGTGGAAAGTGTTTATGAATACTGAACCAATTTATGCAAAATAAGATGCAAATTATTCTAGATGTAAAGAGATGAAATTTTTTTTAAAGTACACAGTTTTGACATACTATCCACTCTATCAAGCAGACCTAGAGGGATTCTGGAAGGCAGAGCTTTCAGCAACCTTCTAAAAAATTATGCAATGTTATTACACGGAATCAGAGATTGCTGTGATTTTTATTCAATTTGACATCTTGATGAGAATGAAAGTAGTAAGAATGAAGGTTTACAAACATTGCAATATTACTGTATCATTGTGATATGGCTTTACATTGATTATATGTAGAGAACAAAGTAACATTAGAATTAAGGCAATAACAACATGTGCAAACCAAGCACATTACCCTGATACGGTCCTTGATAGAAAGCTCTTTTGGTTAGCTGATGTTTGATATTGCTGCATGCAGGTCATTGCTCTGAAGGATAAGCTATGAATAGAATTTTTTTTCATTAAAAAAAAAAATCCCTCCTACTGGCCCACAATAGCCAGAAGAAGTCTTCGGTAATCTCCACTCGTGTCACCTGCAATCATTGTGCCCAGAGTCTTCTGATACATCTGAGCAAACATCTGTTTTATTTGTACAAGGTCAATCTGCATAAGAAATAATATTTCTGTTAGAAAAACAACTGTGATAACTGATATTTATTAAAATTCTTTTAAAATAATAATATCTTAATAATAATCAAAGCTGAAGGAGGAAAACACCAAGTGACTGACATTTTATGGCTGGCACTCATACCAATGCTAGCACTACCCAATGAAGGTCTGATTCACAGCTCTGTAAAATACTGGATAAGGGTAGTATTAGTTTCATCTATTATTCCAAAGATACCAGTCATTTAAAGATATTTGATAGGATGACTATTACCAAAACCAAAAAATAGTCAGATGTCACGAAATGGGAACACTTGTACACTGGTCGATGGAAAAGTAAAAGGGTGCAACTGCTATGGAAAATAATATGGTAATTCCTCAAAGCAAAACAAAAAAACTCCCAAAGAATTACAATATGACCTAGAAAGTCCACTTCTGGGTATATTCAAAATAAGTGAAAGTAGACTTGAACAGGTATTTGTACACCCATGTTCATAGCAGCATTATTCAGGTAGAAACAAACCAAGTCTCACAGATGAATAAAAAAAAAAGGTGGGATACACGTACAATGGACTATTTATTACTCAGTCTCAAAAGGAAGGAAATTCTGACATGCTACAACATGAATAAACCTTGAGGACGCTATGCTAAGTAAAAGATGACAGTCACAAAAAGACAAATATTGTATGATTCCATCAATATGACGCACCTAGAGTAGTCAAACACAGGGACAGAAAGTCACATGGTTTGTTGCCAGCAGTTGGGAGAAAGAAGAATAGGGAGTTACTGTTTAAGGAGTATGGATTTTCAGTTTTGTAAGTTGAAAAAACTTCTGAAGGTGAATGGTAGTGATGGTTGCATAACAATGTGAATGTACTTAATGCTACTTAAAAACGGCAAATTTTTATGTTATGTATGTTTTATCACAACTTAAAACATCCTGCTTAGAAAATTTAAGTTAAAGAACAAAGTTTCTTTCAAAATACCATATTCTGGTTGTTTTCTTTAAAAATAATCTACCTTCTTTGCTATAACTTAGGGTTTTTGGCCAGGTGCGGTGGCTCACACCTATAATCTCAGCACTTTGAGAGGCCAAGGCAGACGGATCATCAGGAGTTCGAGACCAGCCTGACCAACACGGTGAAACCCTGTCTCTACTAAAAATACAAAAAAATTAGCGGGCGTGGTGGCACACACCTGTAATCTCAGGTACTCAGGAGGCTGAGGCAGGAGAATCGCTTGAACCCAGGAGGCAGAGGCTGCAGTAAGCCAAGATTGTGCCACTGTATTCCAGCCTGGGTGACAGAGCGAGACTCCGTCTCAAAAAAAAAACAAACACACACACACACACACACACACACACACAAAACCCAAAAAAACCCAATAATAATAATAATAATAATTTAGGGTACTTTTTTTTAACACTGGATCTCTGTCACCAAGGCTGGAGTGCGGTGGTGCAATCACAGCTCACTGCTGCAGCCTTGACCTTCCGGGCTCAGGTGATCCTTCCACCTCAACATCTTGGGTAGCTGGGACTACCACGTCCCGCTAATTTGTGTGTGTGTGTATTTTTTGTAGAAATAGGTTTCACCATGTTGCCCAGGCTGGTCTCAAACTCCTGGGCTTAAGCAATCCTCCTGCCTCGGCCTCCCAAACTGCTGAGATTACAGGAGTGAGCCACCACACCCCGCCATGTTTTCTTTCAATTAAAAGTTCAGGTTGGGTGTGGTGGCTCACACCTGTGATCCCAGCACTTTGGGAAGCCGAGGCGGGTGGATCATTTGAGGTCAGGAGTTCAAGGCCAGCCTGGCCAATATGGTGAAACCCCATCTCTACCAAAAAATACAAAAACTTAGCTGGGCACGGTGGCGCACACCTGTAGTCCCAGCTACTCTAGAGGCTGAGGTGAGAGAATTGCTTGAACCCAGGAGGTGGAGATTGCAGTGACCTGAGATCGCACCTCTGCACTCCAGTCTGGGTGACAGAGACCGTGTCTCCAAAAAAAAAAAAAAAAAAAAAAAAAGGCACAAATGTCATTTCTTCTGAGAAAACAATAATTTAATATTGTATGATTCCATCAATATGACGCACCTAGAGTAGTCAAACACAGGGACAGAAAGTCACATGGTTTGTTGCCAGCAGTTGGGAGAAAGAA